TAATTTGCAAAATTTCTTTCTCAAAAGTTGAAAATTATCGTTACGGTTTCTTACGGGCAGAAAAAAAAATCTCGAGTGATCTTTTCTCGGCGTAGAATTTTAATCTAAACGGAACTTTTAGTCGATATCATCTCAAATAAATTATATCCGATCGTATCAGATATAAATTGTTCCTTCTTACTTTAAATTTAAATAGACAAATACGCGTCAAGAGAGTTGCACGTGAATTTTATATAAGACAAAAAAAAAAGTAAAAAGAAAAAGAAATCTCTGACGGTCGATCTATAATAAAATTATGATGTAGTTCATATACTTATTCGAGCATTAAAACGAAATTAAAAAAAAAGAAAAGAAAAACGTAGGAATTTTCTTAGCGAGATTTACGAGGCAATTCTATGTCTAGTCTCCTTCTAACGCATCCGACGCTTGAAGATGGATGATTCACACTATTTCGTGAGGCCGAGGAACGAGCTATAAATTCCACTGGAAGGCATACGAACAGAGGGAGGAAGAAACGTCGCGTGCTTTTCTAAAAATCGATAAGCGTGTGACCACTTACGAATAGAAAGAGAAAGATAAAAAAAGAAAGAGAGAGAGAGAGAGACTATCAAAAGTCGATCGTGAAACCAATACAATAATATTTTTTCGATAGCCGATTAGAAATCCACGTAAAATTATGGAAAACATTAAAGGGGTTGCTTTTAACCACCCCACTCTTATACTTGTCTCATGTAAATGCACCCTCGTCTCGCGTGCCACGGTGAATTTCCTAAGCCGACCAACGAAGTCGACAATTTCTCTCTCTCTCTCTCTCTCTTTCTTTCTCTCTTCTCTTTTCACCTGGGGTCACGTAAGTGTCGAAAACCTCGAACAGTCATAACGATGTGTTCTCCCTGCTTTTTAAACGTCGACGCTGCTGGTAAAGGCCATTAGCTAAATAATCGTGATCGAGAAAAAATTCTCTCTCTCTCTCTCTCTCTCTCTCTCTCTCTCTCTCTCTCTCTCTCTCTCTCTCTCTTACCGTCTCTATTCATACTAAAATGTCTCACGAGTTATAATGACTAAACGATATGCAAAAATTGGCGATTGTATCTTTGAAATGAAATTTCTTTTTAAAGAATTAGGAAAATTGTATTATATAATACTCTATTATATATTAGTATTATTATTATTAAATACTATTTGTATATTTTTTAACTTCATTTTTATTTAAGAGAAACACTATTAGTTAGAAATAATTTTTATATGCACGCGTATTATACATAATAACAAATTTTACTTACAACAATTTTTATTCTAGTATCGTTTAGGGAACGATAAAAGTGTTTTAAAAAAAAAAAAAAGAAAGTAGAATTGGTTAATAAACTTTGGTTTACCATAACCACAAATACACCTCAACGTGGAATACACAATTTATAGGAGTTCATAGGGTTTTGTGGGGATTAACGTTCAACGAGACGCCAATAAAGTGGGATCAGTGAAAGCTGTTGTCGAAGACGCGTGGACACAAATATCGTCACTCTTCTCTCTCTCTCTCTCTCTCTCTCTTTTTCTCTTCTGCTTCTTTCTTTCTTTATCACTCCACCATTAGAATCGCGTCTTTTATTTTCGTTCGTTGAAAAATTATGTTTCGTTTGTCCTATTTTTATCTAGTTCTTTGAAGAAATCCTGAAAAAAAATCTACGATTGAAACATTATTTTTATTTTATTCTCCATTTCCCTCTATTCTTTCTTTCTTTTTCTTTTTTTTTTAATTTCACTAGTATTATACATTCTTAACGGATAGTTTAATTATAGAGTAGCAGGGAAGAAAAGAAAAAAAGAAAAACACAAGAGATAGGAGGTGTTTCGAAGGAAAATAAAGAGAGAGAGAGAGAGAAAGATAATAAGAGCGTGATCTTGAATATGCAAATGATTCGTACGTTAAACACGCGAAGAATTCAACGTACGATATATTCACTTCTACTATACTAAGCCCGTATAGTCGATTATGGTTACGGACTCTTTCTGGACACTCGCTACTACGTATTGTTCTTTCGTATTAACATAGCTTTACACGTATTACGTGCGTGCGTGCAGATCTTTATTTCTTATATCCGACTTATATATATACAGGTGTATGCATATATGTGTTGGGTGTACGCGATGCATATGTTTGTCCATAGAAAGAATAGATAGTTCAAAAGTGTGTATGTGTGGCGTGTCAATGGTCAACCAGTTGTACAGGGCTCACCCACACCACCAACACCATCACCACCATCACCCTCCCTTCCCGAGTTTAACTCGAGTTTCGCGTGACCCACCCCTTTCCTGCCGCCTTTTTAAAGCCACCCTTATACTCACTCAGGAAGCATACTGAAACGATGTGCGGCTATATCGTACCTTAGCCAACTTTTATCGTACCATTTGCGAATCGCATATTATTTATTATTCCCTCGAATAATTTTATTTTAAAGACTCCCTGTACTGCTGTAAACTCGTGGCATGCTATTTATTTTTTTCTTGTTTTTTTTTTCTTCTTCTTCTTCTTTTAATTCGATTAAAATTATATATATATATATATCAAACGATGAATAATATTTGTTTTAATTTTGATTAGGTAACAATGTAGTTTGTATAAATAAACGAAACGTGTGATTTAAAAATCCCTTTTTTTTATATTTACTTAAATGAAAGTAATGAAATAAAAAATGCAGTATATAGTCAAATATATAATATTTGTTTAACCTATGTAAGCTTAAAAAATAGCCTGACATTTGTCTCGTGTTCATGCCTACTTATCTTTGCTTTAATCTACTTTCACGTACTGACACACATAATTGTTTAAAAAAAAAAAAAAGAAAGAAAGAAGCTCATAGATCGATGCAAACGTTGTACTTTTTTCCGCTAAGTTAGAACATTACGATATAAATATCTGTGATAATATATTTTATCTAGGTAAAATCGCGTTAAGATGGCTACTATACGACAACGAAGGGGTTAGAAATGTTCGAAGCGAAGGATCGTAAAAAAGCTCGTAATCGTTCCGTCTACTGGCACGCACGCAATCCTGGGATTAAAATTAACTGCCCCGTGTATATTGATTAAACGTTCACCTTGACACAAGAAGACCGACCCCGTGGTGATGGTGCTATTGGTGGTTCCTCGTACCGATGAAATACCAAGAGCCAGTGCAGTGGTTATTAAGACACCACACACAACCCCTATTACAAATTTTCTTCGAGGAAAATTTATGATTTCTTTCGTTTATAGGAACAACAACAGCATATTGGAGAAAAAGGGATTTAAGGGATTGCATAAGAGAACTCAAAAATCCTAAGAATTTGTATTCGAAGAATACATTTACAAAACATTTATTATTTTCTTGGTATAGTTGAATTTTTAATTGCGAGTAAAACTTTTGATAAGAAATTATTGAATAAAAAATAAAAATACAGAATTATATGTGCCGTTCAAACAAAAGGTGTATCGTTGAAGGTAATCAATGTGTTAATTGATTTCAATTAACACAGAATTCGAAAGGGTTGTTAATTGTCAATTACTTTTTTCTACTTTTATCAATAATTTTGTCTAGTTTCGATTGAAACGGTTTTTTCAAAGCGATTCGGTCTGAGGAATTTCTTTATTCGTTTGTCAACCGAATAGTAACTTCTCCTTTCCCCATATAATATCTTTTCGTGCTCACTACGATGAGAGGAAGAGTGGGAACGAATCTTTCGGAATATTTCAAGACATATTTTATTCAACATTTCGATGCCATCGGAGAAACGTACAAAAGATGCATCCGTAAGAAAGAGAGAGAGAAAAAGAAAAAGAAAAGAAAAGGGGTGGAATATCGTACACTTTGAAAAGTATCGAATCAGATCTTTTTAGTTGCGATTGTGTAGAAAGAATGCATCAGAGCTTTTCTCATTCAACTGCTATTCTGCTTTCGTAACTCTCTCTCTCTCTCTCTCTCTCTCTCTCTCTCTCTCTTTCTACCTAACCCTCGAGAAAAAAGGGGGTTAGGAAAGAGAAGAAAATCCGACGATTACGCGAGCTTTTGGTAGAAAAAAAATATTCTCTCGATTCGATTCCCCTTTCATATTTTGTATCTTTCTCTTTCTCTTTAAATAGACAACACACGTAACTACAAGAGCCATTCTCGTTTCAAGATTACCTTTAAAAGATCCCACTTTTTTTTTTTTAAACCGACGATATTCATCCCTCCCCTCCCCGACAGCATGTATATTCTATTTCCTGAAAGATTAAAGAAACTTTTTTACCCCCCTCCTCCCATTTCACTCGACTTATAAAATTTCACTTAAATCTTTTTTCTCTCTCCAACAATGTCATGGGAAATTTTATTAGAAAAAAGATTTATACGATATCATAGGAGAGAGATCTCTTCTTGTTAAATTCGAGTCTATTATTGTAAATTTTAAATTGCATTTGTTTATTAAAAATATATATATAATATAGAATAATATTTTATACGTGATATAACATAAAGTTTGTTAGCTTAAATAAATTGGTCTATCAAATGAAACGTTAATTGGAGAGAAAAATAAAGTTTGGAAAAATGATTGACAACGTTGAGGGTAAAAAAATTGGGCCTTGCCTGGATAGTTAGTATAGGTATATATTGATGTAATCATCAGTGAAATTTATCGAGTCAAAACGTTATCTAACCTTTCTAGTACTTTCCGGAAATTTGGTCGTATATACAACACCCACGCAGAGAAACGACAGCCAGTTTTGTTCGTTTTATCAAGAATTCATGATTATCCTCGGAGTAGTATTGTTCGAGCATTGATTCAAACTCAACCAACGTTTATTCATTCTCAAAATCCTATTGAAATTTCGTGCCAATCTTTACGTGCCCATCATTCTTCCTTGATTGATATTACTTATCATTGTGCTGACCGAAATTGGTGCGAACATTTGCTAGAGATCTCATTTTTTTGTTTTTTAGATCATTTCTTTATCTATTAATGTTATTTATCTCTTTTCTGTTCCAGCACTTTATTTTCCACAATCAAATTTAATACTGAGATTGCCTTCCTTGGCAAACAATAGCGCAAACTTTATTTCGAACGTCAAAATACTTACACTCAGAACATTAAGAAACGATTCGACTATACCGAAAAAAGCGAAATATCAGATTTCAACGAGAAATAAAAAAATAGCAACTCTCGATAAAAATACCAATACAATTTGGTTATCAACTCTTCCAGACACGAGTAAGTTTTATGAGTATTCCTTGTTTTTTTTTCTTTTTTTTTTTTTTTTTTTTTTGCAATGGGGGTTCTTTTTATCGGCAAGATTGCAGACAAGTTTGTAACATTTT